TTTTATTTTTTTAATTATGCTCTTAAATAATTTAGTACTATAAACATTTTATACATTTTTATTATACTATCATCAACAATTAATAGTACTACTACTAATATTGAATAATTTTTTTGGTAAAAAAAGTTAGTTTTCAATCATTACTAATATAGATTATTCAGTATCATGTAATAATCTTTGAGAAAATATACTAATATAGATTATTTAGTATCATGTAATAATCTTTGAGAAAATATTCTAAAAATAATATTAAATTATTTATTTAATTTATTTAATAATATAATTCTAGATAAATAGAGTAATTCATAATTTATGTGATATTATTAAAATAATTACACTATTTATGATATTAAATATCTATTCTATTTATTTTATTGCTCATTGAATTATAGTATAATTCTTAATACTATTTAGTAATATATTATTTTATGCGTACTATTATTTTAATTATGTTATTATAATTCATAAATAATTATAATAATAATAATTTAATTGGTTACTATTAATAATTATGTATATTTATTTTATAATTATTATATCATATTATTATTAAATAACTAATAATTATAATATTATTGATAATTATTAATTATTTAGGAAGGTGAGGAGGTGCATAATTAATAAGTGATTGTATTTATTTAATAAAAAATTAATTAGAGATAATGACATACTTAGAATTTATCAATTTAAGAGGGTAAAAGAGGAAATTAAACGTTTTAACACCCAATCCTCTTTTTATAGTAGTATATATATAGATATAACATTATTAAATATTAGTATTTAATATCCCATTATATTATTAATATAAGATATTTAAATTATTAATATTTAATAAATATTACTAATATACTAGATTAACACTAATATAGTATAATATAATATAATATAGTGTTGATGTCTGATATCACACAGCCGATGAGGGGTTTCCGCCGAGGGATGTTGTTCCGATCTTCGCATTGACGGTGAAGAGGGAGAGGATGAGAGATGGGGACGACTCATCCTTCGACTTTATGTTCGATCATTGGACTGGAATTCCTGATCTTTCTGCACAAACAAGAAGAAGAAACTCGTAAGAGGGCGGGGACCGGTTCCCCCGTGGTACCTCCGACGGTCAAGTCAGCTGATGAGCTTGAGTGGAGTTTGAGAGAAGATCCGAGGATCATTGAGGCCCTGGCCTCAATAACTCTTCTTGAGTTTTTAAAAGGAGGCATAGTTTTTTTTTATTGCTTAGAGTTTTGCAAAAAAAGAGTTCATAAGTCTTAAGAGAGTTTCAAAAAATCCCAAGAGAGTTCAAAAAAAAGTCTCCCTACCTTTACCCACCTTACCTCCTTTTATAGTCCATTCCCTCTGAGATTGACCTTTGGATTTAACTAGGCATAGGAGGGCGATTGCGGGGTGAGCAGACAGGCTGCTGAGTCATCCTTCATTTTACAGATGTCGGCTGACGACTGGAAGGGAAGTCATTCGATCACAGGAGAGGACGTCTTGGAAATATTCCAGATTCAATAGATGAGACAGGACGGAGGATAGGCCGACTGTTTGGGCCTCATTCGCTTTTCAGATGTCGGCTGGCGACTGGAAGAGAATTCATTCGAGCACAGGAGAGGGCGTCTTGGAAATATCCCAGATTCGATAAATGAGACAGGACGGATGATAGGCCGACTGTTTGGGCCTCCTTCGCTTTACAGATGGAGGCTGACGACTGGAGGGGAAGTCATTCGAGCACAGAAGAGTATCTTAGTGATCTCTAGGAAGTGACTTATGTGTAGAGTGAGCTGTTTTCGCACGAGATTTGTCAGAGTTGAGATCTTGATAGGATCGCTCAATAAACTGTGGTGTTGATTGATGGTGGCTTAGCTGGATCTTATCTCCTTTGTAAAGATGGGTCGATTTGTGAGTCGTCCATATGATTTGACCAGTCAGTCGAGTGAGCTTCTGGTCGAGTAAATTGTCGAGAAGGTGGTCGAGCCGACTATTTAGGGAGTCGTCTCAACTTATGAGGGGTCGACTAATCCCGCACTTCGTGTCGGTAAAAGATGACTCGTCTCCTCGGCGGGTCAATAGACTTGAACTTGGCTGGGCCTTTGGACCACTAAGTTGGTTTGGACCGTAGCTTTTTTGGGCCTATGAAGATAATCTTTCGACATCTTTATCTTTAAATGGTAAATTACCATAACATATAGTATAATGTAATATAACATAATATAATATAACAAGCATGTCGATAATAAATATATATATATATATATATATATATATATAGTATCACAATACGAATTCATAACACATAGTATTCACGCAAATACCTTCAATCAA